CCACCACCAATGTGCAGCCCCACCTGGATGATGCGACGGCAGCCATAGTGCACCAGTACACTCCCCACACATCAGCTCTCAGTGGGGAGGAGAGCAGAGTGATGTAGCCAATTCATAGAGGGGGATTATTAGGAGGCCATGATTGGTAAGGGCCAATGGGAAATTTGGCCAGGACACCGGGGTTACACCCCTACTCTTTTCGAGAAACGCCCTGGGATTTTTAATGACCACAGAGAGTCAGGACCTCGGTTTTACGTCTCATCCGAAGGATGGCGCCTGTTTACAGTATAGTGTCCCCATCACTATACTGGGGCATTAGGACCCACATGGACCACAGGGTGAGCGCCCCCCGCTGGCCCCACTAACACCTCTTCCAGCAGCAACCTTAGTTTTTCCCAGGAGGTCTCCCATCCAGGTACTGACCAGGCTCACACCTGCTGAGCTTCAGTGGGCTGCCAGTTGAGTTGCAGGGTGATATGGCTGCTGGCAATGTACTATGAATACAGTATCACTGCAAAGTAAAGCAAAATTATTCAGACAGATGTTTTGTTTCAATGAACTGCACTCAAGTGCACCCATCCCTGCACTTTTGTCTTCCCCATTAGGAATGTTAAAGGGGGTAAGACTGAAGAACAACAAAGTGTGGTACAGTCAATGCCCAATATCTGTGTACCTAAAAAAGCCAAATAACTAGAACATAAAGCTGCACTTAGACTAGATGTGATTACAGCTCTTATTTTGCTTCCAATAACCAAGTACCTATTATAATAACATGTAGCATGAATCTAAAAACCTAACAAAGGCACATTCTGTAACTGCAGAATAGCCTCCTGATCAAAGCTAAAACAGAAAAATAATATTCGTTTTTAAGATACGGCACATAGGCATAAGAACGAAAGACAACATGCCTTTCGAAGGCCAAGCAGCACAGGAAAAAGAGCTGTTATGCAAGTTCCAGCATTCTGAGTAACAAGAATGTGCATAGCATGGAGAACAACATTCTTAGTATGAGAGCAAGGCAGACCCAGATACACAAACTCTGACTAGCTCGACCCCACCTGCTGCGCTGCCAAACTGACATTCCTCCAGCTGCAGAAAGAGAGCATGAGAGTAAAATGACTTCCTTGGTTTTTCTTATACCCTTGACGTGTTAAGGCTACGTTATCAAATATTCCAAAGACTGGTGAAGGACATCTTTTTTTGATGACTAAAAAGCAAGTCTTCCAATCAGGTATCCACCATATCATATGGACAGACAGTATGGTTAAATACTCCCATGGCGTTCCCAAAAGAGTTCCCATGGCGTTTCTCGAAAAGAGTAGGGGTGTAACCCCGCCGTCCTGGCCAAAATTCCCAATGGCCCTTACTGATCATGGCCTCCTAATAATTCCCATCTATGAACTGGCCTCCTCATTCTGCTCTCCTCCCCACTGAGAGCTGGTGTGTGGGGAGCGTTCTGGCGCAGTATGGCTGCCGTCGCATCATCAAGGTGGGGCTACACACTGGTGGTGGTGGAGGGGATCCCCATTACCTGTAAAGCTCTTTGAGTGAAGTGTCCAGAAAAGCGCTATATAAGTGTAAGCTATTATTATTATGATGATGATTATGATTATTATTATCAGCATGTTGTATTTCATGTATGTACCAGAAAGGGGGTAGCTGCAAAGGAACAAGTCATAGATTTATTCCATGCTGTTCCATACCATGCTGAAATGAATGAAAACAATGTTTCGGCTGTGGAGCCTTCTTCAGGTGTAAGAAAGATAGGGCCGTCAGCAAAGATAATATAGCCTGGGAAAACACAAGCCAGGAGAGAGGAGGAGGCAGGAGCAGGGGAGAGGCAGAGTGGCCAATCAAATGGTGCGAGGTCGAGAGAGGTGAGGAGAGGTGTGAAACGAAACCTACAAATGAATAGAGAGAAATGGAAGCAAACAAGTCTGTCGTTGAGAGAAGGGGGAAGGTGTGAACCAAGTTTCAGGATAATTTCAGTTTCTGATGTCTTTCTGCTATTGGAATTAAGAAACCCTACTTTGAGAACGCAGACGGAGAGAGATCAGTGTGATCATGGCCGTCAGAGGTGAAATGAGAAACTATGGGCTTGGAGACATCTTTAATCTTCGTTATTTGTTAGTCAAAACAGTACTTAACAGTCTTACTGATACTTTTCTTATGACTTTCTCACTTCACTGCCTGATTTTAAGCCTGCCTTATTGCATTTCCACTACTCACAAGGTGCTACCCGTGAGACTGCCATCTTCCTTTCATCAAAACAGCAATGAAACATTGCATCTCGAAAGCAGGAGCATTCTCATCTAAAATCAGAAAAAAACAGAAATGTATACAAACAGAAAGCACCAAAACAACTCTGGAGTTCTGCTGCCATAGAAACTATCCCAGGTGGAACGTGCTGCAGTTTTAAAAATGGAAACCAAGTATACCGGGAGGCCAGTGAAATCAAATCCATTTTTTAATGAAAAGTTTTTCCTTTCCATTCTCTTTAACTTAGAATTCAGGTTCTTTTCTTTTACATTTCTTACCTTCACAACTATCTTTTTTACTCCTCTTGTTTTATGGGCACTATAAATTTTTCTACATTTCTGTTCTAAATCAGTGGCCTATAGAGCCCAACAAAGAGCTAAGAGATGCTTTGAAAATAAATACGTAACCTCACGTCATCAGAAAATTAGGGCAATAAGACAAGCTTCGACCTGCAGCTGTATTAGAAGTCGATGCAATGTCTACACTGATGTCTGCTACAAAAATGTATTTATACCCTTTACTACTCATACAGTAAGTAACACATGGAAGTAGTGCTAAACACTACCTTTAACAGCTATTTCTTCTATCTTTGAGCTAATTAAGGTGCTGAAATGATATTTCCATAATAGACATTAAAGACCATTAAATGAAAAACTTTTAACATGGGCAGTGATCCAGAAAAAAACTTCCAGAGGTACAAATAGTATAAGTATTTACTATTTACGTTTTATGTATTTACTATTTACGGATCTATAAGTATCTTTAAAAGCAGAGCATGAGTAAACCGAACTTACAAAGTGTTAGAGATGAAACTTAATATAGTGCTGAAAAATGTTTAATTTTTAGCATGTTAACATTATTTTTTTTCTACAACGTACAGTACACCATTACTGAGTTCCTGAAATTTTCAAAATTCTGCATTCCAAGGATACTGTAGGTTTTCTGCAATCCAAAGTTCAGAAGAATGTGAAGGACTGGAATAGTGATGGATGTTAACAGATCTCGCACCAGGACAGAAACAGTAGAAGTGTGGCTCATGCTGCAAGTCTCAGTATATTACACATCCATCAACATGAGCGATTTCCATTCCGTTTTGCCTGTGAAATATTATCAGTGAATTCCGGAATCCAAAATTCAGCTTCCAAAATTGAAATATCTTTAAGCTAGTAAGGGATACCTTGGTCATTTTTGTTAGAAAAAAAACACTGGCCCAACCATCTATACCGAAATCCACACACGTCACACCATGCTTAGAAAAAAATGGAGCAATGGAGAATAAAACTAAGGGAAAAGAATAAACCACACACTTAAAATGAAAATTTCAATAAAACATTACATTTACCGTTATCCAAGCAATGCCAGTTTAATATCTTGTAAATAAACAATAATCTACAAGGTTGTATTATGGTCTAAGAATAATATAATATCTGGTGTGCTAAAAATAGTATAATATTTTTCATGTTTTGTATGGTACTTAAAAGGAGACATTTCAACCTTCAGATTATGGAAATACAAGCAGGAATTAATGTAAGATGTGACAGACAAGATAATAGAAACTGAAAAGGACTTCATTAAATCCAGTTCAAAATTGCATTCTTGTCAGTGGAAACTGCAGCTTCCTGGTTATTGGTTGCATACCTCCATGTGACATGCTAATGACTAGCTAGAAGGGTTATAGGATGCAGATAAACTAATGGCAAAGCAATTAGGTTGTGTAGGAGTAAAATGCTGTTATCCTCAATGGCATTCCTTAGAACTAATAACGGCAGTCATTTAAAAGAAGAGTCATTGCACCTGTTTAATTACTGTGATAATTGTATGCTGTTTGTCTGTAGCCCAGGGGTCTAGCAAGCCTTCTTCCAAGAGAAAGCAGCCACACTAGGCATTTAATAATCCTAATGGTTCTCAGAGCTATTAAAAAGATGCATTTTCCCCCAACAAATGTTTCCTTTACGTCATGTTAGGTGCTGCCTCATTTTCTAGTAAGTGAGCACTAATGAATTTTATGCAATAAAAATCTAACAGTAATGAATTAATGTGATGTTAGAGTACCTCCAAATTAAAGATTATGCTCTTCACATTTCTAAAAAAGAACCTGGATCTGCCACCAAATGACAAATGAGAATGAATGTTTTTTCAACTGTTGAGGTTTGAAAATTGAATTCAGGAATCTTAATTATGTAGATGCTATAATAAATGCTTGTTTTTTCAAGGGTATAGCAGTCCTATTTACAGTACTTCATAAGCCATAAATTAACTGATTATATGTATCGCTACTCAGAAAACCTATTGTTCCCACAGTTATGTACAGCATATTGAAGGCCACTGTCTGATACTGTAATTAGAAAAAAGTGTGGTGAAGTCAAAAGAGCTAATGTTCTTGTTTGCAATGTCAAATTAATTAAAATCAAATCAAATTACTCACAGATCACAATGTGCCAACAAATATCCTTCTGAAGCAGAGGACTTCTATAAGGATGAGATGCAACCAGGTGATCACAAGCACCACTGCCACGCAGGATCCCACATTATCCACACTTTTCCAAAACCCAGGAATGAAGAATGCACCCGTGACACTTCTTCACCCTGTTACTGGCCCAGGAGTAAGCTAACACTAATATTTATAACCCATCAGATACAAGCATCTGCTACACAGAAGGCTGCAGGTCGCCTACTGCATTGACACCCATTGATTGCTGAACTGCTGGTGTTTAAGATGCTGCTGACGACTTGAGCTTTACCTGCACACTTTGTCCGGGCTCGGAGCGGAGGGCCAGGAGCTCCAGTGCCGCCATCCAAGGGCCTTGTGAGCAGAACGCTGATCTCGTACTCTGTGTCGGGATCCAGGTGGCCTATTTTGTGAGTGGTCTTGTCCACGGGCTGCACGTCGATGAGGCTGCCCGACACGGTGCGATACTCCACCTCCCGCTCGATGATGGGCCCGTCGCCGTTGATGGAGTTGGCATTAAGCTGGATCCACAGGTACGTTGCACCGACCGCCGTGAGCTGTGGTGGGGCGATGGGGACCGGAGGTTCTGAAATGCCCACAAAAGCAGGAATTTTGCATTATTCGTGATTAACCAGTGATTTTTTTTTTTTTACTTGGAACTACACAATTAAGGTTCCAAAAGCAGAGGAGGTGACACCACAGCACGTCATCCACAGCTTTGGAATCCTATCCCCAAGGATACCAGAGAGCACATTCAAATCCAGACTCTTCCAGACTTCTTTGGAAAGGCCTTTATTTAATTTGTGTCCGTGTCTGCTCCTGGCAACATCCACTGCATTTCTGCAAACACTGATGCATTGTGTTTATTTGTAGTGAACTATCGCACAATCTTTCCAATCCCCCCCCCCCCCCCCCCCCCCCCCCCCCCCCCCCCCCCCCCCCCCCCCCCCCCCCCCCCCCCCCCCCCCCCCCCCGCCTGCCAGCAGCCCTGTCACCCTGCAGCTCACAGCTGGCAGCCCACTGGAGCTCAGCAGCTGTGAGCCTGGTCAGTACCTGGATAGAAGACCTCCTGGGAAAAACTAAGGCTGCTGCTGGAAGACTTGTGAGTACGGCCAGCAGGGGGCGCTCACCCTGCAGTCTGTGTGGGTCCTAAAGCCCCAGTATAGTGACGGAGACACCATAAGATCAAAAGGCACCATCCTTCGGATGAGACATAAAACCGAGGTCCTGACTCTTGGGGGTCATTAAAAATCCCAGGGTGTTTCTTGAGAAGAGTAGGGGTGTCACCCCGGTTTCCTGGCCAAATTTCCCATCGGCCCTTTTCAATCATGGCCTCCTAATAATTCCCATCTCTAAACCGGCTTCATCCCTCTGTTCTCCTCCCCACTGAGAGCTGGTGTGTTGGTAGTGTACTGGCACACTATGGCTGCTATCGCATCATCCAGGTGGGGCTGCACACTGGGGGTGGTGGAGGGGATCCCCATTACCTGTAAAGCGCTTTGAGTGGAGTGACCAGAAAAGCACTTTATCTGTGAAAGCAATTATTATTATTAATAATAATCATAATAATAATAATCATAATAATAATAATAATATATGTGCTAATTTTGTTATTTTGTTTGTTAAATGTTTTTTTACCTTTCTTTTTTGGGAAGCTACTACATAAAATGAAGTTTATTATAATAACAATAGGAACAGTATAGGCAGCTTGTTCCACACTCCCACAATCCTTTGTATTGAGAAGCGACTGTCTTTTTTGGTTTTACATGCACATCCGCGTAGTCACCACTTCATAATTCTGAAAATAAAAAGCTTACATTTTAAAATTAAATTTTCGAAATTTAAGGTCCTGCAAAAGTGGTCTGGATTTTTCTCCCCCAGTTATAACGTAATAACAGCACATAGGAGGTTTCGTGTACAATTTTCCGGCTATGCCATTATTTATTAGCTCTATACTTTGTATGCAAGTCACTGCTGCGAGGTACCAGTCTGAAATGAAAACCGAGAGGGTAATGAAGAGTTACAGAGGTTACAAGTTAAACTAATTAATTCAGGCTTACAACAATTTCAAAATGACTTTAATGTATTATTTTTTCACCCCCAAGGCCTTGCTCCATTTCTCCTGTGACCCATTTATAGAATATTAACAGCAAGCTATTTGTCTGCCAAAAAATATGTACGGTTATGATCCATCAATGATATAAGGTTAAAAATAATCACCACAGGAGTGGCGAAGAAGTACAGTTGCTTATATTTATACACATCTGATATCAATTGTTTAAGTATTTTTTCCACTTAGTTCTTAGCCGTTTTGTAACAAGTGGAAAGTGCTTTTGTCACATCACACCTTACAATTTTCTCATTCCGTCTAACGATGTGAATTGACACTCCTTCCTTTTTTCTACAGGTATGTCTCAGCTGTCATCCCCAACTGTACATCATCAATTACTACCAATTACAGAGCAATGGTTGTTGCACTTGGGAACAATGAAACAAACTGCAATACGAGGGCGTTCAAGATCCTGCGTAATGTGAATGCAAGTATGAGAAAAGAATTGATATAGAATTGATATATACTTAAGTCCCAGATCCCTTATTATTCCTTTAACTTGAATTAATCGAGAAGGGTTCCACTTGAGCCACACATCGAGGTAATGCGTGTCGGCCAATATGGACAAACAGCCCCACCAGGACAGAAGATCAGCTCGAAAACTGAGTAAGTGCCTCAACAACTGAACTGGGGGGAGGATTTAGGGAGGCCAGATTGTTCAAGCCCAGAGGGGAATTTAGCCAGGACAATGAGGTTAACACCTCTGCTATGGAGTCCTTAACGTCCAGAGTATTCAGACGCTGGATTTAATGCCTCATCCGAAGGATGGCACCTGCTCACCCGACTGCAGCACTGATGTGGAAATGTTGATCCAAGGGGAAGATGGCCAACTACTGCTTCATCAACCCCACTTACAGCAGCAGCAAGGTTTTCCTTGAACACTTCCCACCCCAGTACTGACCAGGTCCAGCCTCACTTGACTTCTGGGCGCCGACGAGATCAGTCCAGAATGAGGTAACACTGCTGGCAGTGTGGAAGATGTAACTCCTTATATTAATTGTTAAAAGTGCAGTGGGATCACTTTTTCCTACTATGAGCTTTTGTACTGTGCTTTCATCTCAAGCATTAAGAATCCATTTGTTTTGCTCATTTTAAGACTATGTGTTTAGGACTCAAATTAGATTTGTTAAGCCTACATCATAAAAAAGCTAATATAAATATAATAATAAAATTAATACACTTTTAAAAAAAAAACCTAAATTGCAAAATGAACACTTATACTTTGATTTACATTTTTACATAGGAGAGAGTCCTCTATTTCTGAAAAGGTTCCTAAATATCACTACCTCTTAGCAAGGACCTAAAATCTAGGTCATTTCTTACACAGATGGTTGGCCTTCTTTTGCCCTTATTTACAAGCCAACAAACTCCTGTATAATCCCGGCTTCCAAGTGCAAAACCAAACCTCACCTCCTATGAACTAGTTAAGTCTTTTGGCCGGCATAATCCACCAATTTAGCAGACAAACCCTTTCTGTTAGTCTGTTATACAAATCTTTCCGAAACTTCACAGCGAGAACAATGCAGGTATCTGCCTTGAGACACAACATTTTTATTCAGTTTGTACTTGGGGCATAAGGCTGCTGCTACAAACAGGAACAAAAAGACAGTAACAGGTCCATCTGCTATGACTCATTCCCTGTCCACAATTAACAGCAGATAAAGTGACATATCATTCTCAAGTTGGCAGACTTAAGAGAGGGCTTGCAAAGTTTTATTAGATGGTTTGACAAGTGTCTAGCTCCGTTCAGTCCCAGATCATCATTGTCACTACTTCATCAGAAAAAGTATTGGATCATTCAATAGCTTCTGAAAGGAACTGATCAATACTGTGCGTTCAAGTGAAGGCACAATTTATTGGAGTAACAAAGTCTGCATATTTCATGTAACAAGTTTCTTTGGTGAACAGAAATATTGAACAGCTGATATTAGTATATTAATTGTGTAATTTCTATATTTAAAAATATGCAGAAGCTTCATTGTTTTCTGCATTTGTTTGGGGAAATATAAAGATAAATGATTTACTGAATATCACCATCATCACTGTAGTACATTTAAACAAACTGTAAATAACATGTAATTCATTCTCATAATTTTCTGCACCTATTTCTAGAACCCCAAGAGGATGGAGACAGCTTTTCCGCTGGTCCAGAGGCTTGTGTGAGGTGCACACATGCAGAAAGAGGGCAAGGGGCCTACCCCAGACCCGGGGTCTGTGCACAGCTGCAGAGCACCGTGCTGCGGCAGCAGTCTGTGTGACTGCCTGGTGGAGGACAGCTGCAAGGGGGCGTGCTGCTGCACCTGGCGGCCTGACCCACAAGTGGTCACTCGAAGCATGTTGGTATGTAGAGAAGCAGACAGATTCCACTGGCTGTGTATCAGATTCCCCCAGCCTGCACACAGTAGAGCTATGATGTTCTTATACACCATGTGGTTTGATAGCAAAATCCATTAAGATAAATCTTAAATTTGAGGACACTTTTTACATGACAAAACCATTTTGTAATGTTAAGGTGGGAGAGGATTTGACTTTTATTTGAGCTATTGCCCAATAGTCCACTCACGGTTAAGTCAATTGGATTACTTGCGTCTCTTTGGAGGATGGTGGTGAATAATTTTTTAACCTTAATATTAAGTTGGATAACATTTTGTAATGAACATTTTTTGTACTGTGGAACAAACCGTTTCTTGGGGCCTATTTTATCTAACTGGTGCTCGTCAAATGTCAGTTTAAGTACAGTAAAAATGTACCACTGCTGCAACAACCCAATAATCTGAAAATGGAAACAGTTTGCAAATCACTTTCTCATACTGAAAGAAAGCCTGTTTACCAACAAAAAATAACTGCCCTTTACAACAGGCTTATATGATTTCTAACATAGAACCCTTATATTTCTGAAACTTCTAAACATTTTACATTTCTAACATTTGCTCCCTTGACTAACGAGATGTGTATTAAAGAAAATGACCTCACGTGAACAGCTATCTAGAACTCATTTATTAAATTAATAAGAACATTAAGTGGTTGAAAAATGTTGACTTCATTTCAAGCATCAAGCAAAAGATACATTCTATAACAAGTAGCAGTGCTTGTGTTTTTTTGTTGTTTTCTGTTGGTTTAACTCTTAGCTCCCTCCTGCAAATGCATTAAAGCCCCACCCCTGATCACACCAGCACCGAACACAACGGGACTTGAGGTAAGTGAAGACTCGGAGAGACATTTAACATTAAGAAAGACATTAAACACTTTGGGGACTGAAATCTTCTAAGGTGCTTTAGCCTAGGCTTTCTGAGTTTCCTCATATGCTCATGGTGCAGAGAAAATGTACTTTATCATCTAAAGCATATGATACATATAAGTATCATAATTTAGCATATCATGTTTAAAACACAATTACACAAAAAAGTTGAGCGTCTCAAAAGTTCTCAAAACAAGTTTTCAAACATGCATTACTACGGATGACATTTAAAGGGTTAAAATGTATCTATAAAATGTTTAAGATTTTTATTGCTTCTGCTTTTTGCATCTTAATGACTTACTGCCTGAATAAATAGACCTCTTTGGTATAAAAGCAATAAAAAGCACCTTGTGTGAATGATTTATATGTGCATTACTTTCAACAAAAGGTTGAGGTCACATTTCTTAACCCGAAGGCACACATGAAACCTGCAGCACAGGCCATTGGGATTATCATAATTATTCCAACACACCATAAAAAGTAAATGGGATTATAACCTTGGACTACTCCATCAGGCATGACACACAGTGCAAAATTGTTAGTGGTGGCTAGAGAAGTAAAGTGTAATTAGACACTTCAAAAGTACTATAAAGCACACAGAGAAAACTGCTCAAATTAAAATTTTGGCACCAAACTTTAATCTTTAATAAAAAGGATGGGAAGTGAAGATAAACTAATGAGGATGTATAAAATGAATTTTGTGTTTGTATCCTCCTGTTTTTTCTTTGCAAACCACCACATTCCAAAAGCTGTTTACTGTTTGGCAGATAAATTCAAAAGTGCTGTGTGGTGCCTCCTATCAATTATTAATTTAAAATACTGTTATATTAAAAGTGTGTTCTGGTGTTGATTAGACAAAACAAAAATGAGAACCACTGTCTGCTGTGGATCAAAATATGTAGTATGAGAGTCCTTCAGTGCATGTCTTGTTTTACCTTGTTTCAGTTTGAAGATTACAAAAGAAGAAACTCAGATATCAGTACCAGATCTGATTGTAAAAAGGAATCTGGTATATTTTTACAGGATTTTCTCTGAGTCTCCCATTTCATGTATTACTATTGAACATTACTGCAGACACATTATTCTGACACAGAAGACAGCGTGTTCTTTCCCAAGTGTTAAGTTATCACTTACCCTCATGAAAGTTATCTGAAGAAGTTGTACTTACGTTTTACCGTCAGTTCACCATAACTAGACACTCCAACTCCCTTGACTGAATGGACGATGCAGCGATACTTTCCAGAGTCCTGCTTGGTTGTGTTAACCACATTAAATGTAGCTACAAACCGCCGCTGGTTCACTGGTTTAGCCTCATTCATTGGGGCTTCCCGGCCACCGATTCCCTGTACAGAACATAACATATCCAGATACGCAATATTTAGTAATAGGCAATAGCATAATAACTAAGGATAGTTTCATAAGCATCTAGAATGTGCTTATAAAAAGGGTGTAAGGAAGATTAAAATACAACATGTTTTACTCTCAACCCCGTTTTCTTTGCCTGAAAGTTCCAAGAAGATTACAGCTTCTTAAGGAATGTACCATATTTCTTAGCCTCTTTCAGTCATCACAGGAACACAGACAGACGTGTGGACTAAGACAAGAAGCACATGAATTTGCAAAGCTAAACCAAGTAAGAGTCGCAACAGAGCATACATCTTTGCATAGAAACAAAATCCTGTTGAGATCCCATTCAATGATATTCCCAGCGAATATCATAAAATCGCAGCAAAACATCTGTTTGTAAAACCCTTGTTTTTTTTATACAAGACTTTACAAATCAATAGGACTATCAGTACATTCTCCTTTGCAGTCTACTGTTTTATCACTACTTGTACAACATAAAATAACAGGTGGAATATTACTGAGACAAAAAAAAAGGACTAGTTTGGAATGTAAAGGCAGATGATGCTCAGAATGCCAATTACTGCTCAAATGCTATTTTCCCCGCTTGTCTTCCAGTATATAACCTGGATTGCTCACAGCTGTGATATGAGAGAAAGAAGGCAGATGGGAAACATTTGTTAATTATAAATATTTCTTCATTACTTTCATCAAGGGATTTAAGTTAATGTTTGTATTTTGTCTCCAGCACTAATGAGGACATGTTTGCAAAAATGACAAACAATCCCACCAGTGACCTTTTCAGCCATATGCTTGTGCTGATCGGTTCTGATAATTTGCTTATTAGTTGAAGCTTGGCCTCAGTCAGCCAGTTTTACCTTTAGTTTTTTTTAAACAACACTCCAATTAAGTGAGACAAAGCGTGATTGCAGTATGTACAGTATGTACAGCAAAAGAGCGTTAATTACCAAACCATGCTTGGACTATTGAATTCAAGTCAATATTTTATGGCGATGTCAACAAAGATGATTGTAAATTGCTCTAATGCTGCCCAGTCAAAATCCAACACATTACACTCAGACGTACACAATACTTATTATTGGATGTTGCAATGATTGAATAATTATTTTAATTGCTTAAGACTTGTTCTGGCAAACTCAAATACTGTATGTACTCAAGTCATCAATTTAATCAATTTCCCTTCGGGATCAATAAAGTCTTATCTAAGTGTGGTGGGAAAAAAGAAGAAATCAATACACATATGGTAAAACTAGCTTCTTTTACTCATTTCAGACATATGGAATGCCCAACAATAAGCAAAGCATTTCCATCAAAATCAATGAAATGCAAGAATATAAGTCTTTTTTCAACAGTAAAAAACTTGCATTTTGAATACATATACAGTAGGAATGATGGTACCTGTAACCACAGGTGGTAGCTGTCGTTGGGCTGTCCATTTGCGGTGCACTGAAATGTAGCTGTTTGTCCAGCGTTGACCTCCACACCCTTTATGTGCAAGAAGTGAGGGGTATTCACTGGAAGAGAGAGTTGTCAAAGTATGAGAAAGAAAATTAAACATGACTTCTAAAACCATTCATTTCATCTTGATTGCTCAAATGAGTAATGTTTGTAAGAATTACTGTAGAACAGTGATCCAAAGTAAAAAAAAAGCCTAAAAATCAAAAGTATTATTTTCTGATTCACGATGACGCCATGAGATGGAAAAGTGACAGCCCGTGCTGAATATACTGTATAACCTTTTAAGAAAACTGCAAGACTTTAAACAGTTTATTAGATACAACAATAAGAAATCCATTTTAAGAATGAGAAGATAGTCAAACATTGGTTATCTGATTACTGTATATTAGTTTTTTCTCCATTAACAATGTCATTTTGTACCATTATTTTAATGTGATCTAAAAATAATGGTCCAAAAAACTTGCTCCGAGATGCTGTGGATCTTCCTTAATTTTACTATAAAGCTAAACCACTTTGCAGCTTACCTCACTTAATCTGCTCGTGAATGGAGTATTGTACAAGGCCGCTTACACAGCTCGTGATTTCAGACATCTTTCAGGACTTAAAATGTCAGCAACTCATACAGGCTTCATGTGGAGCTACAGACTGTACAAGAATCAACTTCGTATCTAGTGAGGAGTTAAGATTCCCGTCATTGTTTCGTTCCTTTCAAATCTGGTTGGGCCTACAGATTGCTTTTAGCTGTGTCTTCCATCTAGAAACCGCCTCCAACAGTATGAAACCTGGACCAAATATTTATAAATCTAATCCCTAAAATCTTAATGTTTGTATCCCCCCCCCCAATATCAGCTTCTCAAAAAAAGTACGTAAGTGGATATTTTCAATAATCAAAGAGACCTCTTATTACTGTAAACCACTCAAGGTGGCATTTTCATTAATAACAACAAAATACCAAAGTACTGGAAACACACACGGCATGGCTCCTGACAGCACTCGTGTACGGCCGATATGAAGTGTGTCCGCAGTCAAGTGTACCTAAAACAAACTGGACAAGTCTCTTAGCACAAAGAGCCACTACTGTCTGGGCTAGGAGAAAGAGAGGAGCACAGCTCATACTGTACATGACATGCCATCAAGCTGCACTACTGCAAGCCCAGCGATGAGCTGTGTTCAGCTCCTAATCCAGTTCCTGGGAATCTGAGCCGAGCCATTTGTTTCTAGAAATTCTTTGAAAAGTTTTTAACAAATTCAAGAATTTGCTTTAAGCCAGTTATTTTTATATCACATGGCAGAACAATATTCTTGGGAATCTCCTCTTCTTTCAGGTGAGTGCCTGGCCGTTTGGTTTTGTTCTAGAAATCCTTTGAAACGTTCAGAAATCCTTGACATTTTTTTTTCCTGTGGCGCGAGGGACACACTTCTGATGTGCAGAGCCCAGCACGGTGATGCAGAGCGGTCACTCTGTGTCAGCAGCCTCACTGCACAGCAGAGGTCGAGAGGGGGGAAAATTATTCCAGCTGAATAAAGGTCAAACTCAAGGCAGGCCCAACGGAGAAAGGCCAGACTGCAATTTAGGCAAGACACAAAGGTAAAGAACCGCCTCATGGGATCCCTCATAATCAAGAACCCCAGACCTGTGATTACCATCTCAGGGACAGCACCAGTTATGTCCCCCCAGTGGACCTGCTGGGGTGTTCTGGGAAATTCCAGCCCGAACGGATGTGTGCCACCTTATTTTAATTATTTACAGTGTATTTGATTTTGTGTTTCGTGTTGAATTACTGAATGGCACAGTGTAGGGTAAGGAAATGTACAGTGTTTCCAAATTCATTAAGAGGTAATCCTCAGTTATTTACTTTGTCATGCTACGCATTTGGTTATTAATTGCTCTAATAAGAGTTTTTAAATCTTTTATTAATTATTATTTCATTCCTGTCCCCGTACACACAAGGGAGAAGCTTCTTCCTCTCCCTCTTGGACCTCTAGCGACAACATTCCCCGTCTTGATTAAAACACACCTGTTATTCATTAAAGGACAACAGACTGAATCTCCTATCCCTCCTTCCTCGCTCACAGACACCACTAGGGCAAGTAAGGCCTTCTACTAATAATGAACATCCATGTTCATCAAAGAACATTAAGAACAGTAAATGAGCAATACCGGAAAGCATCTTCATCAAAGACAATGGGACTGATCTCTCACTATACCAGTATAGCAACACTCCTTTAAAGAGCGGCTTCAGTTAAACCTAAAACAGCGATACAAATGCTTTCCACACATGTACAGGTATGTGCTTTACAGACACACTGTACCCTGACCCCTCTGTGCAGAGAGCAGTGCTGCACTGTTGTAATGGTTTAACTGATGGGCAGTAGAATGCACTAGATGTTAGTGCTCCATATTCTGCATTGGAGCCTTATGGGCTGAAATCCTGGGGGTGGCCATGTTGCTGCACCCTTGAGCAAGGCAGTGCGCTCAAATGGCTCCAGAAAATGTCCTGCTGTATAATTGTGTATACTCCAGAGCAACATTTTAACTTTTAAACTTTTATTCACAATAGACTTCCATGGTAACAATAAATGAATAAAGTTAAAGGATTACAGAGGTTGGATAACAATCCTGCCTTTGCCAAACCTACTATCTCTTTAGAGGACGCATCTTATTTCCGATGTGATGAATGTCAAATAATCATGTCAAACTATCCAGTGCATTCACAGTTATCTTAAATAGTTTTCTCAAATCTAAATTCTTCATGGAGCGCTTTGCAGCATGATGTGCCTTTGAAAAAGAAGTTCTATAACATTCAGATTTTAGCAGATGGTGATCTCTGTGTAGTCCATTTTGAAAAAGCACAAAGTATTGTTGCTGGATAAGGATCATTACATATAGTTAAATACATACAGATTCATAAATCAGCAGAAGCAATGAAAACCAGCAGGCGCAGTATGGAGCTACTGTATATATGACATCCCTGATGGATGGGTTTTCACTGTCACAGAAACATTTAACTTGTACCTTGTAATTAATTTTAAAAGAAATTAAACTCACTAACATTTTTATCTCACAATTTTTAAGCTGTATGAAACTTCTTTGAATTTTACTTTCTGTTGGCAACAGTCATGATAAATACAGTGCACTGGAGGATCTCAAAGCCCTTATAAGAGGGAGTGACCCATGAGTCCTGAACTCCTTAGGGTGCTCAGATGCATTAGTCAGCATAATGAGATTATCACAAAGGAGAAGGAATGAACAGAGTGAAAATTAGGAAGGTAGGGCAGGTTGAACTGCACAGAGGAAATGTAAACAAAATGCTCTAAAAGTGGCAAGTGATGTAGATAAAATTCTACAAATAACTCTTAGTACAGTAAATAAAGATTCCACATATATAAATAATTTGCTCCTCTGGCATTTACTAATAGTGTGTTAAGTAAAAAAACGAATATGATATATTACTAATAATATAATACTACATGATCGATATTGCAAGTTTTCAACACAAAGTTTAATACAGCAATACAGAACAGACAAGCATCTAGGTTACTGTATAAGAGAAAACAGAATGTCTGTTTGGACAGAAGTCAAAGCTAATCAAATTATGGAAAGTGATTCCAACTTGTGATCTTAATTAACTGACATATTGCATTGTAAAATCAGGCCACCAAGATGTCGATCTTGTTACAAGCTAAAGCACACCAAAAGAGCTGCTCCCTCAGCAGCCATTTTAAAGGAGTATTTAGGAATCTATTCCTTAGTCATAAACTTACATTTAATACATTCTGAACATGATGAGTCTTTTTGTCTTATTGTCGCAACAAATTCACAGGGGCATCTTTCTTTCTAGCAGGTGCATGTTGACAGGACATAGGTCATTATGCTGATTAACTTTTGACATCGTCTGGGTGGATCAACAAGGGGTTTGAGTATGAAAATCCTGGGCTAGTAGCGTGTGTGGAGGAATCGCAGAGTTTACCGCTGCAACAGACGGTTTGTGCCAGAATGCAGATGCCACCTTGTAGGTGTCTATCACCCAGAGCTCGGAAAACCATGAGAAATGTTAATGAGTATGAGTCCAGGATGGTGCTGCACACCTCACAGGCCTCAAGCCTGAGGCAGTTCCAGGAGTGACGTCTCCCCCTCAGCAAGCTAGACAGTGTAGCCGGACTACACCAAGTAAACACTAGATTGTTTCATCTAATTGCAAACGACCATTGCTATGACTTAAATTTCCCTTATGCGAATGACATACACATTCTGTTGATCATATTCTTTCCACCTCCTTATATAAGCATTTACTTTTCTCATAATAATGAATGACTGGTCTTTTGAATATTCAGGTCCATCACAAAATAAACTTGCTTCTATAGTTGTTTCCCCATTTATTGTACTTTTTACAAATATTTATGGTGCAGTGAATACTTTCTCCATACCTAGCCTGGAGAACAAGGTGAGTGCCTTGCCCTCACCCAGCCTTTAGCTGAGGGTACTGCTAGAAACAGACCATGACAGAGATCATTTAGAATTCCTAATCCATCCCAGACACACAAGTCATCACAGGGGGAATTTTACAGAAAGGAAAGTCTACAGAAACAACCAAACAAGTTTCATGTACATTTTGCTTCTCACTGAAGAGCCAGCTTCTTGCTTTTCATGATTAAATGGTCTCTATAACCATGGTATTGTTGTGAACGGCTTTGAAGGCCTTAGATGCGATGAAAAAGCGCTGTGTAAACTGAAACTTTTTGTTGATAAATATGTAACAAATAAAAAATTTCCCCTGAAGAGAACCAATGCATCTTCAAAAGTACAAGACAAAGGGGGCAAACAAGAATATTGTTTAAATTGGTACGCTGCCAGCTATCAAGCAGACATTCTGGCTACAGTCAGACCAGGAACAATAAAACTCGTTAGTCTGCAAATTACTGTGGCCAGGCAGGAACATCTGTCAACCCCTCCACTGCATGTTACTGTGCAGAGTCTGGCTTATGTCTAAATCGAGTGCTATGAATTAATGAACAAGGAAGAATGCAGAAACTTTTATTTGACACAACTTGGTTCGCCTTTCCAAAATCCATCTTCTGTACATGTACTGAGCCTTTTATTTACCGTTGGAAGAAATCTACAAACTGACTCAGCAGTTTTACATTTCACCGTTAGTCTGCTAAATGCATTGAAAATAAAAAGAAACACTGACTCTGTATGTGCTCCAGATTGTAGAGCTTTCCTTTTTATAGGATATCATTAGAATTACTGACATGACATTAAGAGATTGGGTTATTCCTTTTAACACATTTAAACCAAATATTATTATAATAAAAAATGTTGACATCAATTGCAGCTCACCATCACTGTTAAGAAAACAGTAGTTACAATTATATTCACGCTTTGGCTAGGTTTTAAAGTTGTATTTAAGGGAATAAAGGGAAACTAGTTCAAAAGTTCTGAAACAAGTTTTGAGTCGCATTATCCCACTCACCCCCAATCTTATACTTGATTGGTAACTCTCATCTTTGAATTCACCTTTAATTTTCAATCAGGTGATAAATACTCTTACAATGGTATTGACAAGAGCATCTATTTTAGGCCTGTGCAGAATTAGGGTTACAAGACCCATTAAATGTTCACTGCAGTTATACTTCTATTCACACTTCAAATGACCAAATTAAGAGCGTCTACCCATGAGAACAGGTTCTGTTAAAGCTTTTCATGTCACCTTTAAGAACCTGTTTTTATCCCTAACTGTCCTAAAGAACGTAATCTTATCAAATTGGAAAAACGGCAAAACAGCGTCACATGATCAGTTTCTTTACTTATCAACACAACACATTTTCCCCTCAAAAGACTTACTGCATCTCCAGGTAATAAACTCAGTGAATATTTTATACTCACCTTCACTGGAAGAGTGTTGACTGCCTGGCTTCCTACACTCTGACCAAAACTTTAGTTCTTAAATACTTGAGTACATGGAAAATGGGGTACAAATTTCCCCCTGTGCCCCTCTCAGTCACGAATCAATGGCTAACATAACTTACAGATCTCTCCCTTACATATTACACAACTGCTGCTACAACACTGCTTGAACCCATACAGCAGAAGTAATAAAGTACAGTATAATAATAAAATGGAAGGTTATGCAGCTGAAAGCCTAGCTGGGTGGTGAGACATGTTGCGTGAGGGGGGCCATGACAACAGCACAGAGTCATCAGCTGGTTTTGAAAGGTTTCAGTGGGCAGGACTGTGTAAGAGCCAGGGTATTCCCCACAGCTGGGAAGAGAGGCGATCTAATGGGAACCGTGTACAAGCAATTTCTATGGGTACAGCTGGCAACTGGTGAGGAAAACCACCTTATATTCCTGTTACAACAGTTCTGGTACGTGAATTACAATGCTTCAATGCTGCTGGCAAAGCCAAGAGGAAAACCTACTTCTCATGTAAAACTGGGGGAGAATTTTCTCTTCTTTGCAGGGCATTGACACAGAGCACAAGGCCGAAGCTACACCAGAGTGGCTCAGGAGAATGGAATTGAGTGGCCCAGACAAATCCCTGACATGAATCCTATCCAGAATCTATGGAAAGGCATGAAAAATGTCGTCTTTAAGTGATCCCCATGAGAGAGGTTGAGCAAACCTGCTAAGAAAAACTGGCAAAAACTGTACCAAGCCAGTGTACGAAAGTGTTAGAAACTCACCTCAAAATAATATAATTACTGTTCATTTTGGCTGTAAGTTCTGTGCTTTCACCAAATGTGTGTCCAGGGGTCTGAATACTTATGTAATCAACATATTTCAGTCTTTCTCTACAGTTTATGCTCACATTTACTGCAACCTATAGTACCCTTAGAAGTCTTTTGTTGGAGGATTCAGGTTCTAAATATTACATTTAAAAAATGTATATGAACAATTTTGCAATTTCACAAAATGAAACGTCATAGGAAAAGACTGAATACTTTTGCAAAGCACTGCATATACAAAATATTCAAGACATTGTACACTATCTTTGAAACAATTATTCTAGGTTTTTCCCTTAGTTTGCTCAATGGTTCATCAGGTAAAGAAGCACATACTGTAGTAACATGAGGCCATCTCTTTGATTCAATTAAATTTCACTTAAACAATTGTTTATAGAATCCATTTTACAGTATATAAAATGACATTTAGCATCTCATAAAGAATACATCTAACCATGTCTCAGGAAGTAGGATTTGACTCAGGGAGATGAAAACTGAAGATTTCCAAGAGATTGAAAAATGGAGATATTTACTTTTTATTGTTTTGAATGGAGATTTTCATTAGGAGATATTTGCAGATGTCAAGGACAATATCGTTCTTAGTGCAGAAGATGACTAATGCCATAGGCATCTATTGGGATTTGAAGGAATAATAATATTCCTTTATTCTCCATTATCACCATGCAAAGCAACTGACAGAAATGACAATTTCCTTTTTGTTTTACATACAAATTTTGAAACCTATTTTCACAGCTGGGTTTACTCAAGCTGCCTGGGTAAGGTTCCCTGCTCTAGGGCACAGTACTAGTACATTTTACTAATTTGTCCGATGCTTTGATCCTAAGTGACAAACATTTGCAAGTATGGATATATTTGAAATACATCCGAGTCTTGTAAGACAACATAATACATATTATAAAGCAAGCAAGTAAATGTGCTGCTAAACAAGAATTCTCCAGTACCTATTGATTGGCTGCTACGATTTGTGTATCCAAGACAGGATTTCAAAGAAATGCATATACAGCACCTGGACGAAGTTGAAATATTTGGTTAATGTTGGGCAACTTAAGTTTTAACCATCTCTTAATTAAAAGAAGGTCATAAAATGACCAGACAAGCAAGTAATTGCACACATTATAAACATAATTTGAATTGAAAAACACTGGCAAGGAAAATTACCTAAATGAAACTGGAAACATCTGTTTCTGTCATGGCCAGACCTTGCAATGTATTTTAATGAGCTTTATACAAAGCTCTTTTCATCATTTGGGAACTGCCTCTCTCAAAATGACAAGAGAATACGTTTTCTGAGTTGCTGTCTGCTGTATTAGAAAGTAGTGATTGCTGTCAAAGGGCATCATGAAACAGAGAAGCAAGTCTTCTTTATGAACCTATCTTTCTTGGAGAGGTGATGGACTTACTGCATTGATGTCCCTGAAGCTGCACATCTCTGATGGCCAAGAGTCCATGTTGTCCTGAGGTCAGTGCTTCAAACACGATCTGGAAAATGAGAAGTCCCATAAGTCCCTCATGGTGATTAGAGACACAGGTGGAGTTCGTTAAAGTGTTATGTTAGTGTACACTGAAAGAAATTCTTTCACACATTTGAAGTAAATCTAAGAAATTGATTGAAGATTAATTATGAGTGACTCATTTATTCTACAAAAGGCTGTGTAACAAAGGAAGATGCTGCCAAAATCAAATATCTACTTGAGTTGGTCTTGTAACAGAGCGACAAGATGCAAAACACAAATCATTCCGCTTACACTGCGTAGAGTAGAGGTGTATTGCCATATGTACCTGTACACTGGAACGCTTATTTGCGCTGATCTCTCGGGACATACACAGTACAACACCACCACACAATGAGAAGAATACATTCCAAAAATAATTAAAAACAAGAAAAATAAACGTTATGGACAATAAATGTGCAGTAGTGAGAAAACAAAAAACAGGTAGACCATGCAAAAAGTACGTAGTGCAGATGTGTATTGAGGCCCTGCAGTCAGCTGTAGAGGATGTGCACTGCAGTGGGATAGAAGCTGTTCTTGAGTCTAGTGGTCCAGCTTTAACAGTGTGGTACCGCTTGCCAGAGCGCAGGGGGGGGAACAGTCTGTAGTGGGGATGGTTGGGATCTTGAATGATGGATTGGGCTTCATTGTGACAGCGGATGGAGTGATTCTCTCCAATTGATGGTAAATCACATCTTATAATCCTCTGTGCCATTGCCACAACCCTTTGTAGTGCATCTCTGTCATGCACTGCAGTATTGCTGTACCACACAAGTGAGGACAATTCCGTTTGTGTAGATGAATGACTATAGCACCACAGCACTATGACTATAGCACTGAGACTTGAGTCTTAAGCTCAAATGGACAAATGTACCTTAACCAGCATTAAACTGGACTGCAATACAATTCAAACCATCTGCCGTAGTTTTTTTTCCCCCCAAACAGTCGAAATTGTGAAATTCAGAAATCATGTTTTAAAGAGAAAGACTGTCAGCAGGTCATTGTGGAAACAGAACAAGGCCCAGCTGAATAAGTTCTACAGAAGGTCGGAAAGGCAAAACTGCGGCTCTCAGGGTTCAGGTTTAATAGGACAGTGGGGTATATGGAGCAAGCTACCAAGCCATGCTGCTTAAAGTGCCTCACCGGCCTCTCTGGAGAACTGGCTAGATGACACCCTTGGACAAGCAGATATAACAGCAAGCCAAGCATCCTCTCATTTTTAACTTCAATGTACAGTATTCTTCCCTATACTAATGGATTGTTATCAATACTGCTTCTTTTCCATAGCAGTCATCCGCCTTAACCAGAACACGAACTCAGGATCCAGAGTGTACAGTATGTAATTGTGAACCAGTGCGTGCTCTCTGAGTGAAGTGCACATGTACTATTGAATAGTTTCTATCTATGTTTTGGCACCACGGCACTAGCAATTCTGATCCTTCTGGGCAGGGTATCAATGTTTTGTATGGACCTAGACTTTGGTGAAACATCTGTGAAGCACAATGTTGGGCTATGTAGCCTTTGCAAATCCATGATTGATTAAAAGAAACATTCTGACCCTGGAAAATGAGTTAAATTAAATAGACAGTATACTGTACGTTTCATGTTAATTTAAAAATTCAACTATTTTGTCTTAATCAACTAACTGTTGCATCACACCAAAGACACCTTCTGCTAACAGATTAAGTGATAATCCATCTGATCACCGTTAAGTAACACTCACACATGACAAAGTAGCACAAAAATATTAAAACACAGGACCTGATTTAATTGTGAAGTGTACGTTTGCCTCTTTTTTCTCCATGATCTCCATACCTTTCAGAACCTGAAAACTTCCTCTTACGTGGAGCACAAAGGGAAATCATTCCCTTACATAAAATAATTATTTTAACCTGCTGAAAAAATTACAGTATCGACTACTTCTACATCTGACCAAAGCAGATCATTTCCCAGATAATGATCATCTTATTCTTCTACAAATATTCGAGTTGCTTATCAGCCAGGAAGCAACTGGTTAAACATTTCTGACTACCTGCCACAAAACATTATCTGTATCAGTATGGATGTTAAACAGGAAACAAGGAAATCAGTCAAGTGACACTACTCTGATCCTCCCTTCCTCTGTAATGAAAAGGACATGAGCTCATTACACATTAAGTTACTTATTGTTCACTCATTTACAAATGCAGTTCAATCTGCTCTTTAAACTATACAGTATATTTGAGTGTGTGTTAAACTAAGTTTACCTTGAAAAGATGACAACCTTGAGCCTTTATCATAAATTTAGGGAAGACCTTGCTCAAAAATGTTTTTTAGGAAAAGAATTGCAATAAATAGTAAAATGCATTTACCTTGTAAAGCTTGTTCACTGTACCACAATTTCTAACTTCAATCATAAAACTGAGGGTCAGTAAATCCTTTAGTAATTTCTCAGTTTTTCTTTGTAAAATGAACATTCACTCTGACTCCTGTAAAATGGGATTGTTCAACATTTCAAGTTCAAGTTTATTGTCATTATACTCATATACAGGTATATGGTATAACGAAATGCTATTTAGCTAGGTCTCGAACGATAAGTAGTACAAAAAACAACAACAATACAATTGTATAAGAAAAGAAAGACAGAGACAACAAGCAGTGTGCAAAACAACATCAGACGTGGAAAAATCATACATCAACAGAATGAAATAAAGGATAGAAAATGATGGGGAGTGAACTTCTTGACATGTGAGGTAGAGGTAGATTTCAATGTGTTTGAGTTTTTGGTCAGAGAGAAGGCACTGTGAGGTTCAGATCGTAGGTGAGAGGGGCTGGGAGTTTAATAGACAGTGCGGAGGTAAAAACTGTCTCTTGAGTCTGGTAGTCCTTACTGCACCCTTGACTGCTTTTCAAGGTATATGTTTAGATTTACCAGATTATAAAAACAATAGTAATTTGAATAAGCAGAGCAACACTTATTTTGATTTTATGTTTTATATACAACACGTTCGTGTCATATCCTTGACCTGTGAAGGCGGTCGATGGGCCTTCTGGTTTATAAACTGCACAGTTATTTATTGCACTGTTGCCTCTGGTATGTACAGTACATCTATCTTGTACTTCTAAAAAATAAAAAATAAAAGAAAATAAATGACCAAAAGAAATAATTGTTAATCAGTCTAGATTATACAACTAACACAAGCTAAATGGGACAAATGACCTCATTTGTAGTGTATTTGTAGTGGGAAGGCCATTGGTAAATGATTCTACAGTATTAATATATATGAAGTTTCCTGTTCTATCAGTCCATCCATTCATATGCATGCTATACTGTAGGTTAGTTGTTCCAATTCACACAATACAGCTTTCACTTATTGTTCCTCATCAGGGAAGAACAACCAAAAAGGAATGAAATCTGGAGTAACTATAAAGTAACTTAATTCATTCTCTTAGGTAAACACACTTTTAGACATTTTTAAACTTTGTTAATGGCAGAACATCATTCCATTAACTCCAACAGAAACAGAAATGCCGCACAAGGTTCGGACAACATCTGACATCAGAAGGTGCCGCACACAACAAAACAATATTAAAATATGGAACAAGTAATAGGTTTATTCCCTGCTGAAAAGAGAAGAAAGAAAACACAAAGTTTCGGCCATGGAGCCTTCTTCAGGTGTGAGCTGTGAAGAAGCCCCCACACCTGAAGAAGGCTCCATGGCGGAAACGTTGTATTTTCTTTCTTCTCTTTTCAGCAGGGAATAAACCTTTACTTGTTCTTTTTGCAGGTACCCAACTGAACAACTTCAATATTAAAATATTACAATTGTTGTTTAAAATTAATAAAATATTGATAGAAAAATTCACTATGAATTTTGTACATAACAATGAGTACTTCTGTACCAAAGGTTTACTAGAGTTCCAGGGCACACAGGTGAAATGTACAGTATCTACAGTACAATAGCCTTCACCAAATAAAACACAATCACCCTGCATTCATATTGTTTTTTTATAATTGAAGAAGCATTATGATTTACAACATTACAAGCTGTAACATTTTCAAGCTAGTGCGGCTTTTGAGTATGATTTAAGCTAGAAATAAATGTATAATCGTTTAAAGAAATCTATCAAGTATAGCGTCATACAATAAAAACAAGTATTGAGAGGGACTCCTTCTCCCTCTTCTGTCACTATTAAACAAATGAACAGATACAATTTCTATCAGAATTCACACAATAAGATGGAGCACATTCACTGAAATCTGTTGCCAGTCTTTTTCTTGCTATTATTCATGAGAACAGACAAGAATTTTTCTTGCATTTGAATTAGCTTAATATGTCTAACTTCACTAAATAGTTCAAAAAGCTATTTCACATCCATTTTTTGAATAAGGCCTAGAAAATGAGTCACACAAAGCACTCTAATTAGTGTCATTTTTATGAGCTGACATTGTCATCTAGGTCACTTGGAGACATCTTTATTAAACCATTAAAATTAGTTTTAATTGATTTAATAAAATTCTGTAAATGAAATGTCTCCTGTGCGCCTAATTTTGGAGAACAAAATGAAGAGTGTCATGACCTGTTATGGCTATTAGGATTATACGGTAAATATACAATAACCCTAATCTCATTTTATTGTTTTCGCTTGCTCACTGGCATTTTATTATGTTAATTTCATTAACATCCTAGGAGGGAAATTCTAAATGAAGTTACAGTAGTTCTTGGCCTGAGATATGCCCTTAAGCATTCGATACAGAGTGATTAAAAGATCTACATGCCTTCAACTTAAAAGAGGAAATGGACAAGTGGAAACTGGGAGGATTTGTATTGAAGAGCTGAGCGTCTCTTGAATAAGATACAATACCACCATAGTAGATTCCCTGAGATCCTTCAGGAAAAGCCAGATTAAATCATCAGATCAATAAGCTACTGTACAAGAACAAAATGAGTATAAAGGGCATTTTGTAACTTTCTTAGGAGCTTATATCACAGTGAAAACCAATAAAAAGTTTGTTTTGGAATTACATTTGGAAATTGCTTGAAGTAAAAATAAAACTAATTTTAAACCCCTTTCCTGGCAAATCATTTAAAAACTGACTTTTCCAGTTCCTTTAATGTGTGTTTTATAGTAATGGAAAATAAACTTCATCCTTGACATTATCTTTCAAACAGAAATACTCAAACTTTCTTAAACTGCGGTGGCAACATTTTACATGAACTTCTCCAGCTAAATAATAACACAGAGCATTAATTGCATAAATAAAGTAGGAAGAAAAAAAAAAGAATAAAACAACTCTGGGTTCTTAAAAAGCTTCATGTTCACCATGACAAGTTTATTATAATAAAATCCAGAAGATGTCAAAACTAAATGCTTAAAAACAAACTATAATATAACCCGAAAAATTACTGGGGTTGGCATAGCCACTAGCTTCAGTAACGCATCACAAAATACTTCAACGCAATCCACCTTGATCTTGCAGCATACTATTAGAGGGAAAAATAAGTATATAATTTTATTGTCACGTCTCACATAAAAGGGTTTTATTTTTTAGTGCAAAGAGCAATGCGTTTGACAGACTAAATGCCATATGCCTGGCAGATGTCCTTTAATGATAATTGCTATACCTTGTTTTTATGTATAATGCCATATTCATGATTACCCTTCATTTAACATCCTAGAAACTTAAAGTAGATACTTCAAAGTAGTCAAAACCTGCACTTCCCATGTGATCAACCAAATGTTATCTCCACCATCTAAACATTGGACAAGACCATCCGAAATGGGATTCATTTCTCAGGTAAGGCCTCTTCATTTTTCCTTTCTGCCATTTTCAGAAAACACTGTATACCGTGCAAACAGAAATTCAAATAACCAGAAAACAAACATGAACAAGTCTGCTTCAGGATATTGCTGAAGGAAATCATTTATTCATATTTGCTTTGCTTTGCTCATGTAATCTAAACAAATTAGCACTGGTCATTTCATTACCCAATCTTTTAGATTCTAAAAGCAAAAAACGATAATTAGACGGAAACAACTTTGTACTGACCAAGTGGCTGAATAAAAAAAAAGCCCTAAAATGCACATATTATTTGACAAGAGGAATTTCTCAGAAAGCAAGGGCCCCTTTGCCAAATTTGGAAGGCTGATGTCCATGCACAAAACTGCCACCGTGCAGCCCGGAGATGATGACTCATAACAGTAACATGCGAGGTGGTTGGGACACAGACCTCAGAGCTGTCTGGAAAGGTTTATTGGTCTTCTGTGTTAATAACCAACATTATTGCTGTGCAGAAGCACTCCTGCTGTTGGACTGTTAGAAGCTGTTGCCTGTGCCTGGGTCACAAGTACTTCCTGTCAGCTGTTAGCACGGCCGGAGTCTAACGATGGTGGACAGAAAGAGCCTGAACACATTTGCCACTTTCCACTGCAGCTTTCCTACCTGTACACATTCCCTCTGTCTCCCATTGTTCCAGTATGACCAGAGCCACTGGCCTATATCCACACACACACACACCCAGCTTACATGTGCACGCTCACCTGCACACTGGGGAGGGTGATGAAGGGCACAGTAAGGGGATACGAGAGGTCATACCTTCCATGCCAACCTCTCGTGATCGCCATGCTCAAGCCATGGATTACAAGCATAAAAATATGTTTAGGAGATTCAATGTAAACTTCTAAGTGATGCAGCATCAAAAGAAGGGCAATTCACTGAGACTTCAAAACAGTGCGAGGAATCAGACTGAAGTGAAATATAAAATATACTGAAATGATATCAATATAAATATAATATACCACCCTGCTGAGGTAACCTAGAAAGCAATATAATCTCCAAAGCTGAGAAATGGCCTTTGCTCTTAGTCTCAGTGAAAGAGAAAAGAATACCCTGTAATTACAACATAAAAGACAAAGTAATCCAAGTACCAGGTGGCTTCATTTTGACAATCGCTTACAGTACCCTGTAATTATAGACACATATAATTAGTTTTACGCTGCTAATTAGATATAGTTTTGTAAATTAAGAATTCTATTAATAAACCATAAAGTATTAAGGAAGTCAAAACTACCTTTTAACTGATTATCCACATTACAGTTTTAGTGTTAATAGAATAAATGTGTGAATATAAATGTACAGATTTGCAAAAACAGATTGCCAGACTTCTCAAAACACCTTGAGATGCATTTAGAGTTGTTCATTGGTGTTTCCTGTTGAGTGTAGTGAGCATGTGTGGAGGTCTAACCTGTACTTCTGCTTGCGAGAATACAGCGGATCTACAGTAGTGGACAGGTCAATTAAAAATGTGAACCTTTTCAAGAGCAGTAATATCCTTTTTGTAACACTGTGGCTACAGTTGTACACTACATTGTAAAAGAGATTTTAGAAGTGCACTGCATTAGATTCTGCACATTTTATACTTACTGTGTATCTATCCTAAACCTATTTTCTCTTGCAAACTGAATTCTGGAAACTGGTTTTAAAGCATTTCATTGCCAGCAACACCACTGTATGCTGTACTGTTCGTGCATTGATAAATAAACCATAATTGATTGATTGCCGACTACACTCTCCAGAAACGAAGAACTATACATTCATTCAGACATACATGAAAAAAAAACATCAAACAAACAAAAATAACTAAAAATAGATTAGGCTCTACTCTTTAATAAAGCATTTAATTCACAACAGAAACTGCCTTATTTAATGGCAATGCATTTAAGATGCACAGTACAGGGTAAGTGCGCAACTGGAGCTAGGATTCCACTCATGTCCTCCGGGCATCTCCATGAGCCAAAGGTAAAACCGCCCTGCCAGTCAAGACCAGTCAAGCCACCCTACAGGTCCAGGGTGCCTTTCAAGCTTGCCAGTGCCTGATTCCGCCTCTAAAGGCAAAACAGCTTTGGCTTGAATATAGGTCACGGCTCTGATGTGCTGTGTATTGTACAGTAGGAGCAGAGATTTGATCCACATCCTCTGCACTCCTCCAAGTCCATAAGTGTCAAACCCAATGAGTCAAAGGCACCAGTCAGCTAACCCAGGGGACTGAGACTGCCTTCCCAGCTCCAGAGCTCTGACTGCTCCAGACACAAATATCAAATAGACCCCATTATACAGGGAAGTAGCCGATACACTGGAAACAGCATTTTATTGAAACATTCACTAAAAGAATCAGCATATACAGGACAGAATGCCATCTAATTTAAACGTAATTAATAGTTTCTTAGTTGTGCTAACATGCATTATTCACATAATTACTCATTTTTCTCTTTAACTACTTTCTTTTTAGTCACAGTTTTTTATCTGCATCATCATTACCTGAAGGCATTATTATTCTTCAAAAGAACATGATCCCCACTGTTTTTTTATTTTTCTCACACCATTAATGGCTAGCCAGTATATGTACAGCTTTCTATACAGATAATGCTAGGTGTCCCTGCTATTTATTCTAACTTGGATCCTAGTTTTGCTCTGGGTGTAGTAAAGTAATCCGCTTGCTCACAGGGGGCAATTTTTTTATAATAGGGTAAATGGGACTCTTTGTCAATTTCTTTTCAACCTTTACAAGTAATAAGAGTCAAGAAAACTCACATCGGGCTGGTTTTAAATCTCATACTGGGCTCTTTTATTGTAGTGTTTGGTATGAGCATAAAAAAAGAAAAACAGGTTCTTTTTGGGTTGAAAAGAACATTTTGTCTTTGCCAGTGTAACAGTTCATAGAAGTCTTTAACATGGTTGAAAGGCAAAACTACAATTTTAGGGTAGATTTTAACCATGTGCTATAGTCTGCAACCTGTTGAGGAAGTAGTACTAGATTTTTACGAATTCTGTGTTAAAAGACCATTTAATAATTTTATAATAACACAGAGTTTGGTAATCATCCTATTTTGGCTTCATGTTCACGAACTGCACACGTTTCTGAAAAACAAAATAAACCATATTGTATACTGTATGTCTGGTGTTGCTGTTGTTCGTTAGAAAAATCTTTAATAAAACTATTTAAGCAAGAACCTATGTTCTAAAACCATGCTTACTATTCTTTCAGATCCTAATGCCATCAAGATAATTCCCTAGTTCTAATTGTCGTTTCACAAACACTATCCATCCATCCATTTTCTAACAGTTATAATTCCTGTTCACAAAGGAGCCAGAGCCTATCCCAGCAAGCAACAGGCGCAAGGCAGGGTACACCCTGGGCAGGACACCAGTCCCCCGCAGGGCAGACAGATACACTGACACAAATCCGCACACACTCACACCCGGACCAGTTCACCCAGAAGCCCGTGAACCTACCAGTATGTCTTTGGTCTATGGCAGGAAACCGGGGCACCCAGAGAAAACCCACACAAACACGGGAAGAACATACAAGCTCCACCCAGATAGCAGGTCCAGAACTGAACCCAGGGCCCCGGCGCCGCAAGGCAGCAATGCTGACCACTGCGTTACCGTGCCGCCCTCCTTAAAATCACATTAATAGAAGCAGAAGCCAAGCCTAATGGACTATAATCAAATGGTACACCTCATCGGAACACACACCCTCTACGGCATACTACTACTGCAAATCAAACAAAAGCAGGTGACAATGATGAAAACTGAAGGAACTGTGCCCCAATCTCTGCACGTTGAAGGAAAATCCTTTTCACACATCAGTTCTTGGCCTTACCTGATAGTAGTTTGGCCAGAAGGTGCTGACTGCAAGCTCCACCTGGTTCCATGAGTGTGAGGCCGGCGCAGACATGTTCCAGACAGGACTACCCAGAGGGCCATTGTTGGCCTTAACATACACGCTGAGCACACCAGGGACTGAACCTTCTCTGCCAGACACATAGAACTGAAAGATGACGCAATGGGTGTCATTCTCTTTGAGCTGTGGCATCAGGAACTGTGCCTTCTGTCCCGCGAACTTGCCAGAGGTGTTAACCATCATGAAGGCTGAACCTGAAAAAAAAACAAACACAGGGTGCTTGAGATTCTTCATTGGATTTTATCTGCGGTCTTGCATCTTTCTCTAGTGTCCACACTATAGCTGTGGGTAGGATTTTATTCTTCTTGGATACATGTTAATTTTCAGAAACACTGTTTTATTATGCCAATTACTGATGATATCCATCAATTAAAACTAATTTTTGCTTTCTTGTGAAGAACCATGGTTGTGACTGCGCATGAGCACCAGCACTGAAGTTCTGATTAAACATTTTCAGTTTTCAATTTAACAAAGCATGTATATATCTATTTTAACTCCAAAAAATTGGAAAGTGGTTAATGCTTTTACAAGGCACCATCAATGTTCAATGTGTCTTATATAAAAATAGGTCAACATCTGACATTCAAGAAGGCAAAGGAATATTGCCATTTTTTACTAAATTAGCTGTTCCAGAATGAATGTAGCATGCAACACCACAGCACTGTAAAAAAGCCTGTTGATGGATAACCACAGGATTACATGTACATCAACATGAATATCCTAGACACAGAAGTAAAATTGTTCTTGTGAAGCAGTTTTCATGGAGTTCTACAGGCACAAACAGCTGTCGCTGCAGTCTCTTCTGGTTTTACTACGTGATCCCTTGAAGCAGGTTTAATTGAAAAAATGCATTAAAAGTAAAATAAAAAAATCATAATTTAATCAAGTATAATTCTCATTCCTCTTGTTTTTTTACTTTATACATCTAAAAGCAGAAAAACAACAGTGCAGTATTACAGCAGCAACCTCTCTTAATTGCTTTAAACAAAAACACATTGTCAATCCAAATCTCATTCTCTTTGTAAAATACCACAAGCTGAATAATTTCCATTTCTAAACACTTTACAGTGCATATTGCAAAATACCAATACCAAACAAGTATCTGTCTACATACTGCATTCCTAAGATTTGTAATTTTATTAAGTTACCAATTATGTTTTGATCGCGTCATCATAACTCTAAATTTAAGCTGGGAAATTTAACTACTTGAGAGGTGGGCAAAGACAGAGAAGAAATTCTGCTTTTTATTTTGCGAGACAGTACAGAAGCCTTCATGGTTTTGTGTTTCTAATAAATAGAATACATGCAGAAAGACATCAGACCTTTCGGCTCTAATTTTGTAAACTAGTACTGCCTGACAGCTAGCTCTACAGATGTGTAACTAGAAGAACAACTGCTTCAGCTTATAGCACTAAATCGTGCAACTATATGCTGCCTTCACGAAAAGACCATTTGACATATCAATAACTCAGAAAGACTGCTTGCCTGTGAGCCCTGTGTTACAAGAGTAATTTGCTCCAATTTCATGTGTCTTCAGGCACAGATAACTAGCAAGAGATCCGTCATATTTATAGAAATTAAATGAGAACAAAAACATTTTGCAGTTCCCTGTCAAGACTCTGTAGGCAAGTGGTGGCTCAATAGGATGTTGAAGGACTACAGTGTCTTTGAGCGTAGTACCACTGGAGCCATTTCTGCTAGCTGTCAGCAAGAGCTTTATGTAAAACAAGTTATTGTGGTTTCACCTTCAATGTTATTAAATCACTCCTGAAAACACCGCTATCAATCAAGCCTTGTCTTCTGCATGTTAAACAGGCATCTCATCTAGTACACTTGTACAACACAAATTTGGAATAGCTGTGTTTATGAAGACAAACATCTTAATAGCCTGTGGGCAAGCTCTTTAAGGTAACAAAATCAAACAAGCCCACTAACCACAATGGGTTTGTAACTCTCTAATTAATACTTTCTGTCATTGAAGCCAACAATTAACTACTGTATACTATGCAAACCCACAGTTAAACAAAAAAGGTTTTAAGTGTTTGTAAAAAGGTGCACATCTGATGAATTTATTAGAATACATTTATTAGAAACAATGCAAAAAAAATCATTCTGCTGCTTCATGTCTAGGTCATGACATGCCAGGTGTGTCCAGCTAGTTCACTCATCCTCACTGGTAATGTACTTAATGGCAGCAGCTACTTTGCAGTAGGAAGAAATATTTTACCCGTTTATGTAGAAGAAAATGCTGCTTATACTTATCAGGCAGTGCTTCGCCAGCATGAAAATGACCCAAAATATCTGGTCATCTTGAGATCTCGAAAATCTTAAATCAATCTTCAGATTGTAATCCAACTGAGAATGCATTTTGAAGAAAAACTGAAGTCAGAATACATCAGGAACACATAGTGGATACAGCAAAGGCTCAATTATGTAATAAAAATGATTACACAAAGGGTATGGTGAATTCGAGGACTTAAAGACATCATCTAGTTATAGCTTGAAAGGCAAACGCAGCCAAATACTGACTTCTAAAGTCTAAAACATACTTTAAGTCTTTAAGTGAATGTCTCGATATTTTGGTAACCCTTGTAATGAACAAAAAGTATGCTTTTGTTCTAATATGATCAAACGTATGCATAGAATCAGTGGACATTAAAACCTACATTATAGTGTACTCATCACTTATAACTTCATGACCACCAGTGCAAATTGCTTGATTGTAATGAGAAATTAAGTCTTGACAGATGTGCCAATATTTTTGGAGGGCAATGTATAAAAAGTACAGCTATGAATAAAACAAATGACACCTTTAAATAATATGTTCATTCATGTTTTAGACAACGTTTGTAGCCTTGATTAAATTACAAGGCACAGTGTTAAATTGCTTGTTTTTAATTCCCTAGCCAACCTATCGCAAATTAGAATGATTGTTATTGATCTCTGTTAACAGAGCACAACATAGTAAATCGATCTTCTTGGTAATGGTATTGTTTGAGGAGTTCAGATGACTCTGACAGGTTCTGGAATTGCAGCTTAAACAATTGCTCTTTGCTGAACTCTTTAAAGACCTACTGTAAGCCACTTCAAAAAGCAATTTCCTTATGAACTGTTCAACAGACAAATCGGTGATATCTTTTGTTTTGATTGTATTTTGCATAATGCAATAGATAGAATGTGATGTTTTCATATTGTTTCACAACAGCTTTAAATTGTTAAAGGGATGGTTTATCAAATGCTCAAATGACTGCACATTTGCTTATATTATTTCACAACAGCAAGGGCGCAGGATGAATGTATGGTGAAAGAAAGCATTTTTCTGGTCCAAGGAGTAACTTAGTACTTCTGTTTAGCAACCCAGTAAACCCCCCTGGAAACTCACAATCTTATTGTTATGCATGTACCCTTGTGCCAATTTTCAACACACAATGCACTCTTATGAAATAACTGTGAAACAACACCATCTGTCATTACTGAATATTTAGACTGATTCTATTTTTATAAGGTGTTTATGTTCTGCTCACAATATTTAACTACAAATGCAGCAGGGTCAAAACAAAAACTACAGTTCGGGTAAACTGATTTGTTTAATTAGGATCCTACAGTAAATGAGAAGGTGAAATTATTATTAATAATAATAATATTTGCTTACACTTATATAGCACATTTCTGGACACTCCACTCAAAGCGCTTCACAGGAAATGGGGATCCCCTCCACCCCCACCAATGCGCAGCCCCACCTGGACAATGCGACAGCAGCCATAGTGCGCCGGTACGCTCACCACACACCAGCTCTCAGTGGGGAGGAGAGCAGAGGGATGAAGCCAGTTCAGAGAGGGGGATTATTAGGAGGCCATGATTGGTAAAGGCCAATGGGAAATTTGGCCAGGAAACCGGGGTAACACCCCTACTCTTTTCGAGAAACGCCCTGGGATTATTTAATCACCACAGAGAGTCAGGACTTTGGTTTTACTTCTCATCCAAAGGACAGTGCCTGTTTAAAGTATAGTGTCCCCATCACTATACTTGGGCATTAGGACCCACACAGACCGCAGGGTGAGCGCCACCTACTGGTCCCACTAACAGCTCTTCCAACAGCAGCCTTAGTTTCTCCCAGGACTCCCATCCAGGTACTGACCAGGCTCACACCTGCTGAGCTTCAGTGGGCTCCCTACTGTGAGTTGCAGGGTGATTGCCTTAGGTCTATTTCTTAGACCTAAAATATTTATTTGAGCCAACTTATCTCATTTATAACATTGAGGGCAGAAATTAACTGTTAATTAACTGGACAAAATAGGCAGATCTGATGTACAAACAAGGTCATCTTGTCTTGAAGAAAAACAGAGCATGGTCTCACAGAGAAAACAAAAAAACACCAGAGCACTGCCCTTCCATGTGTCCTGAACTTTACGCCGATCATGTTTTCTTACATTTATCCCATTTGAAATTACTACCATTTCATCGAGGATTCACTGTTTTTTTTCCACATTGTGCTTAAAATCTCTCTTTTTGAATTAGCCATTGGAAAATTATTGTATGAAAATTATACTAGCATTCTTGCAATTTTTCATTCCCTTATGGGACTCTCACAATGGATTTTACTGATACTGCAAAATATATGGCTTGGTTGCCAGTATTCCAAATAAAACCACATTCCTGTTGATCCCAATTTGAAATGTAATTGTCCCATCACACTCTGTGCACTTCCAGCTGCAGAGATCTTCCTTGAAATGCCCCCAGAAATCCATGTTTAGATTAATTTCTGAATTGCCCATTGTGTTCTGATTTTCAAAATATGTCTTAAATACTCTTTCAGGGGTGGTTCTGCCTTAATTTTTTAGGGTAAAATAAAAAAGCCAAAAATAAAAGGTAAAAAAGCACAAGATCCTCCAAATTCCCATTTTCAATTTCCAGTTACAGTGAGCAGCGATCCTTATCATGTCTACAGCTTGAGTCTCAGCATCTGGCATTCCCAATTTTTGGAATGAGGAAAATGTACATTTCCGGATAACCACATTTTCCTTTTTGAATACTGTATGTTGCTGATATTCTACGTACTGCAAGACTACTTTATGACCGATACCTGAATTCGGTGGCCTATAACATACTCTGGACTCTCCCCAGTCATTTTTTTCCCTCCTCAGGTTCTCTATCATAAGAAAGGTTGCAAATGAGAACAGGCTATTGTAGCCCT